GGGAGCCTCCTGGGCCGTCTTGGGGCGGTGTTGGGGGCCTCTTGGGCCGTCGTCTGCGCCATGAAACCCGGAAAGCCTGACATGTGTACGGTTTCCGTCGGGAAAGCGATAATTGTGGCCTCCTGGGGCCCTCCTGGGAAGCCTCTTCGGCGTTTCTGGGGCCGTCTTGGCGCCGCAAAAGGCAGTCTTGGCTTGTCGTGGAGCGCTCTTGGAGCGTCTTGGGGATACCTTGGGCCGTCCTGGGAGCCGCTTGGTGTCGCCCTGGGGCCGTTTTGGGCGCCTCTTGGGCTCTCTTGACGCCCTCTCGGACCGGTTTTCGTGGGCCGTCTTGGGGACCTGGAACCAGCTTCTGCGCCATATTCCCGACAAGCAGCGCATGCTAAAAGTGAGCGTTTTTCTTTGGGAAAGCAATGATTTTCGACTCTGGGGGCCATCCTTGGACGCCTCTTGGGCGTCCCTGGGGCCGTCGTGGAGGCCTCCTGGGCCGTCTTGGGTTTGTTTTCGGCGGTCTGGGGCTCTCTTGGAGCGCTCTTGGGCCGTCGTGGGGGCGTCTGGGGCCGTCCTGGGCGCCTCCTGGGAGGGGCCGCCTGGGGGCCGTGTTGGGCGCCTCTTGGGCCTCTTGACGCTCTCTCGGGTCGGTTTTCGTGCCTCTGGGGGGCCTCTGGGGCCGTCTTGGGGCGGTCGTGGGGACCTCTTGTCCCGCCTTCTGCGCCATATACCCGACAAGCAGTGCATGCCATAATTGGACGTCTTCCTTTGGAACAACAATGATTTGGGCCTGTGGGGGCCATCCTGGGACGCCTCTTTGGCGTCTCTGGGGCCGTCGTGGTGGCCTCCTGGGCCTTGTCGGGGCCGTTTTCGGCGGTCTTGAGCTCTCTTGGAGCGCTCTTGGGCGGTTTTGGGGGTGTCTGGGGCCGTCCTGGGCGCCTCTTGGGCCGCGTGAGCGCCTCTGGGGCGTCCCCGGAGCCGTTGTGGGGTATTTTCACTCGATCAAGACAGGGACCCTTCCCGCACGCACGGGTCCCTGCATTGTAGAGAAGACTAGGGCTGACCCGTGGCCTGTGGCTACAACCAGCCAGCAAGCGGCTGCCCCGCCCCAGGGCGTCGGAAAATAAACCTCCAAGTCTGGGTTTATTTTCCGTGGGTGTGGCCGCACCCCGGGTCATGCAGTGGTAGGGTAGAGACGGAACACCGCAGAAACGAAACCAAAACTCCAGAGTAAGAGGCAAAGCGCAGGTTGACGAAAGACGTCTCTCCAGAACCCTTTTGCCCACCTGCGACCTAGGATAATAAACCTCGAGCACGGTGATTATTTTCCGTCGACGTGGCGGGCCGAGGAGTTGTCTGGGGGGCCTTTTTGTTGGCCGACCGCTGGACCATGGAGAATGGCCTCCGAGGTTACGGAGTATTTTTCGTGGGCGTCGTTGATCCACGAACGATCCTGGCGAGACGTCTGTGCCCCATCTGGAGCCTGGGGGGGACTTCGAAGTAGGTACTGGCATTCCGTGGACGTGGCGAGTCGACGAACGTCCTGGGCGAGGGTTGATTGCTCCGCCCCAGGGCGTCGGAAAATAAACCTGGAAGTCTGGGTTTATTTTCCGCGGGTGTGGCCGCGCCCCCGGGCTTCTGTCCCGCCTTGCAAGGACCTCTCGGGGCCCTGTTGGGCCGTCTGGCGTCCTCCTGGGAGCCTCTTGGAGCCACCTTGGGCCGTCTTGGGTGCCCCTTGGCCCGTCTTGGGGCCGTCTGGGATCGTCTTGGGCGGCCCCCGGGACTGTCCTCGGACCGCCTTGGGGCTCTCTCGGGTCGTCGTTGGCCCCACTTGGGGCTGTCATAAGAGCCTTTTCGGCCGTCATGGGCGCCTCAGGAGCCGTCCTGTGACCGCCTTAGGCCGTCTTGGGGCCCTCCCGGGGGCCTCCTGGGCGCTCTGGTGACGATCTTGGGAGATAGTATTGTCGTCTTGGGCGCTTTGAAGACGAAAAGCACGGGAATTGCCAAAATGGACGCTTTCCATCAGGATTTGGCAGGTTTTTCATAGTTCGGGCTCTCTCGGTGCTCTTCTTGGGGCCCACTTGGAGCAAGTTGGGCGCCTCTTGGGCCGTCTGGAAGCTACCTTGGGCGTCTTCGAGCGCTCTTGGACCATCTCGGAGGCCCTCTTGGGCCGTCTTGGGGTCCTCTCGGGGATTTCCGATCGGGTCTCGGAGCTCTCTTGGGCCTTCCTGGAAGCGGCCGAGGCCGGCTGGGGATCGCGGGAGCCCGCCAGGCCCGCAGGAAGCGCCAGAGGAGCGTGTCCGACCCCCGCACTTCTCGCACGCGCGGGTGCCTGCAATGCAGCAGAGACTAGAGCTGACCCGTGGACTTACGTCCACGACAGCTGATGTTGAAAATGATCAGGGGCTGCCTGACCTCGTAAAGCCACAGATTAACTCGAAAAGCTCGCCCAGCGATGCACATCAACCGGGTCACGCATGATGCCCGCGTGCAGAAGCTGAGATCGCTTGCCTGCTTGCCTGCTGTCTTGCGCGCGTAGCTTCCCGACGTCACTGCCAGCATGCTGGCAGGCCTGGCGGTCGCAGCTGACTGCCGCTGCTGGCTTTTGTGCTGCCAGATATGGAGGCTGTGCTGGGGGGCCCTATGTCCAAACCTATTGGGGGGCTCATTGGGCCCTCTTGGGGCCGTCCTGGGCCGTCTCGGGGTTCTCAAGGGGTCTGTTGGACCGTCGTGGCGCTCTCTGGAGGGCGTGTCGGGACGTCTGGAAGCTCTCCGGAGCCTTCTTCAAGATTGTGGGAGCCCTCTGGGGCCGCCCTTGGACTCTCTTGTGGTAGTCAAAGACCGCCCAGAGGGCCCTAAGGCGGCCCGAAGACGGACCAAGGCGGCCCAATGAGGCCCTGAAAACAACCCAGTAGGCTCGATGGGGGCCCCCAGAGGGCCAAAGGTGGCCCGCAAGGAGGCCAAGTGTCTCCCCCGAAGCCGTCTTGGAGCTGTCTCGCGTCGAAAAGCCTGCGAAGCCAAAGACATACCTTTCCCTTTGGGTGTTCGAAGCTGTGCAATTGCAGTGGTCTTGTGGACAATTCATGCAAGGCGTCTTGGGGCCTTTTGGAGGCCTCTTGGAACCGCTTGAGATCTCTCGGGGGCCCTGTCTGGCGGCTGTCGGGACCATTTCTGGCTATCTCGGACATTACCGAAGGCTGTCTCTGCGACATCTTCGGGATCCAGAGCCCACAGGGACCCGGAGGCAGTGCCGACGCCGCTGGAGGCCGAGAAAGCGATTGGCCCACGCACTTGTCCCAGAATTGAGGGGATCATGATAGCGTCGGGCTCCAGTTTCAGAGTTTCTGACGTTGCGGCTCGCTCTCGGGAGCATCGGGTTGAAGAGCTTACTGCGTCACCGCTCGCTCTTGGGAGCATTGGATTGAAAAGCTTTTTACCGTACCGGTCGCTCTTGAATTTGGCGTCTTGTGGGTGACATGTTGGCCCTTCCGGGGCACTTGTGGGCCGTTCTCTTGCCGTTTTGGGACGTCTTGGGGCCCGTCTGGGCCGTCACGGGGCGTCTTGGAGGCCTTGGACCGTCTTGGGGCTCTCTGGAGGGCTTCCTGGGGCCCTCTTGGGCCCTCTTGGAGCCCTCTTGGGGCTGTCTTGGGGCCCTCTCAATTTGAGGGCCCCCTTGGGCTGTCGTTGGGCCCTCTTGGACCGTCTTGGGCCCCTCTGGGGGGCCGCTTGAGCCATCTTGGGGGGGTTTGGGTGGCCTCTTGGCCTGTCCTGGACCAGGCAACAACGCAAAAGGCGGATATGCTGGAAATGTACGTTTTCCCACCGGAATGTGATCATGTTTATCTCTTTGGCATCCTCTCGGGCTCCCTGGAGGGCTTCCTGGGGCCCTCCCTCTTCGGAGCCTCGTCGGGCCCTCTTGGAGCCCTCTTGAAGCCGTCTTGGGGCCCCCCTTGGGCCGTTTTTGGGCCCTCTTGGACCGTCTTGGGGCCCTCTGGGGGGCCGCTAGGGTCGTCTTGGGGGGGGGGGGCTCTTGGCCTGTCCTGGACCGCGCAACAACGCAAAAGGCGGATATGATGAAAATGTACGTTTCCCCATCGGAATGTGATCATGTTTGCCTCGTTGGCGTCCTCTCGGGGCCCTCTCGGAGCGTCTTTGGGGCCTCTTGGACCGTCTTGGAGCCACCTTCTGAAGTCTTTGGGGCGCCTTGGAGGCCTTGGACCGCCTTGGGGCTCTCTGGAGGGCTTCCTGGGGCCCTCTTGGGAGCCTCGTCGGGCCCTCTTGGAGCCCTCTTGGGGCTGTCTTGGGGCCCTCTCAAGCCATTTGAGGACCTCCTTGGGCCGTCGTTGGGCTCTCTTGCACCGTCTTGGGGCCCTCTTGGGGGCCGCTTGGGTCATCTTTGGGGGGGGTGGGGGGCCTATTGGCCTGTCCTGGACCGTGCAACAATGCAAAAGGCGGATATGATGAAAATGTACGTTTCCTCATCGGAATGTGATCATGTTTGCCTCGTTGGCGTCCTCTCGGGGCCCTCTCGGAGCGTCTTTGGGGCCTCTTGGACCGTCTTGGAGCCACCTTCTGAAGTCTTTGGGGCGTATTGGAAGCCTTGGACCATCTTGGGGCCCTCTGGAGGGCTTCCTGGGGCCCTCTTGGGAGCCTCGTCGGGTCCTCTTGGAGCGCTCTTGGGGCCATCTTCGGGCCCTCTCAGGCCGATTGAGGACCCCCTTGGGCAGTTTTTCGGCTCGATTGGACCCTCTTGGGGCCCTCTGGGGGGCCGCTTGAGTCGTCTTGGGGGGTTCGGGGAGGCCTATTGGCCTGTCCTGGACCGCGCAACAACGCAAAAGGCGGATATGCTGAAAATGTACGTTTCCCCATCGGAATGTGATCATGTTTGCCTCGTTGGCGTCCTCTTGGGGCCCTCTCGGAACGTCTTTGGGGCCTCTTGGACGGTCTTGCTGCCACCTTCGGAGGTCTTTGGAGCGTCAAGGCCCGTCTCGGCACCAACTGAGGCCGTCTTGGAGCGCTCTTGGACCGTCTTAGGTGGGGCCGTGGAGGGGTGATTTTATGCACTTGAGTGCCCACCCTTCTGGCACGCGCTTCCGCCCGCCATGTAGGAGAGACTGGAAAGTGCCCGCGGTGCAAATCCGCAAGCGACTTGCTCATCTAAGATGGCTCAGCCAAGAGATAGCACACCGATTCTTGTGTGCCAGTGGTCTGCGGCGTTCTTGGCCGGGTGGGGGAGCGTCATCAGGGCCCTGCATCTATGCGACGTGCCACGAAGCCTCTAGGAATGTCTGCGGAACTGCTGGCTGCTAGCGGACACGTTTTGTTGCTTGCTGCTGTTGCTGGCTGTTGACGGTGCTTATTGCTGGTTGCTGCTGCTTTTTGCTCCTGTCGCGGGTCTTGCCTGTTCGCCACATCTTGCTGTTTGCGAATTACTGACTGCTGGCTGCTACTGCTGGTTGTGGTGCTGGCATGGCTGATGCTGCAGAGGGCCTCTTGGTAAGGATCTGTTGGGTAATCCTGGACCAACTTGCAACGGGGTAGCCTCTTGAACTGGACGAGGCGCGCTCGGTCTACCAGGGGGCCGTCTTGCTCCGCGCCTCTTCGGGCCACTCTCGGGGCCTGCATGGGCTCGCATGGGGCTCTGTTGTCTGACCTCTTCGATCGATGTTGGGGCCCTCTGGGGGCTCATTGGGAGCCTGGCGGCTGTCCAGGAGGGTCCTGTAGGGAGCCCACAAAGGACGTACGCGCCCAGCTATGTACATGAACACGGCCCCTTGACCCGCGAGACTGGCCGCGTGATACGCGTATTCGCGCAATGCGAAATCTCGAAAACAGCGTGGATTCATGTACGTGTACGTCCTTCTTCCGCTCCTGATCCTGGGGCCATATTGCAGTCATCTTGGAGCGTCCATCTTGGAGCCTTTTCCGGGCCCTTTTGGAGGCCCGCGGGGGCCGTCTTGGGCGCATCTGCGACGCTCCTGGGGCCTCCGTGCTGATCCGCGAGGGACTCTCATGCGAAGCCTCTCTGGGTCGCGCCTCGAGGCCTGAAGCGCAAGAGGTCTAGAGGAGAACCGCTACGCGTAAGGAGCGGAGGGAAGGGGAGGAACGGAGGGATGATGAAGGGGATGGAGCAACGACCCTACCCTGGGTTACAAGTGCGTGGTCTGAACACCTCCCGGGAAGTCCCAGAGCCTAGGAAGCCGCCGGGACGCCGCACGTCACGCCAGGTTTGTCCTGTCAGCCCACAGGAGGTTCAGCGCACAGCGCCTCGTAAACCAGGGTAGGGGCGTTTTTTGCGCCTCTGAGTGATGTCTCTCCTCGAAATAGGCGGATCGCAACTTCGAATCGTAACTTCCCCCGGGTATGATGGAATTCGGCCTCGCCACCTCTCCCCCGGCCAGCTCTGCTCCGGCCGGAGATAACCAAGACCCGGGGCTTAAGGAGGGGATGGTGCATAATCCGGGGCACGGGGTCAATCCTAGGTCGGCCATGTCCCCCTACAGGCCGATTTTGGACGAAAAGCCAAAACAAATCCCCCGAAAATATACCGAAAATGATCAAACATAGTCAAACAATCGTCCCCAGACTCTTTTTTCAGACTATTTTTGAATATCTCCCCTGTAGAGGGACAAGCCCGACTTGAGGTGAATCTGCCGTGGTGTACCCAGCGGGGACCCGGGACGCTGGAATCAAGTCGGGCCTGTCCCTCTACAGGAGGAAAATTCAAAAATAGTCAAACCAAAAAGTCTGGGGACTACTTGTTGTGAGCATTTTTGGGGCCATTTTGGGGTATGTTTTGACTACTTGTATTTTTTCGTCGAGACTCCCCCTGTGGGGCCACGCCCGACTTCACGCTGTAAAACAGGGCTAGGATCGGGATAAATCGCTCCAGAGCGTTCCGGAGCGCTCTCAGAGCGTTCCGGAACGCTCTGGAGCGGCCGCGGCGCCCAATACATCCTCCAAACCCGCCGATTCTCAGAGATTTCGAATTATCCCGATCCGATTTTGTCCCGATCTTCGCGTCGCTTTACGAGCCCAGGCCGGTAGCGTCCTGGGAATCCAGCCTCGTGGCACGGGGGCCGGGCTGGGGCCGCCCCGGTGCGTGCTATGCTGGGCTGTCTGCGGCGCCCGGCGCCTCCGTGAAGCCCAGGCCGCTGGCGGCGGGGCGGGCCTCTTCTCGCCTCTGCCCAGGGCTCCGACGCTACGGCAACGCTTGGAGCGGGCGGTTGTTCGGCCGCTTTCGGCCTCCAGGGGGCCCTCGCCGGGCCGTGGGACCGTCCAACACCGACCCGGGACGAGAAGCCGGTCCTACAGTGGCTACCTACCAGACCACCCCAACCCAACCCGCAGACGCGAATTTCGGGTTGGAGGGGGGGGTACGGGTTCCATATGTGCTTTTTCGATGTTCCCCGACCCCCCCCTCCCACTGGAAATCGAGGGCAAATTGAGGCCTTCGGGTTGGGTTGGGGTGACTTGGTGGGCAGTGATGTAGGGAAGCGGTCCAAGACCTCTGGGGCCCACGCATCGAGGAAAGTGGAGCAGCCCGTCTGTCTGGGGCCTCGCCCGCCCCGCACCGGGCCCTGCCACTCTGTTTGGCCTCGCTCGTCGGCTCTGCGGCGCCAGAGATGTGGCAAGGACTGCGCGCCCTCGGCGCGGCTCGCGGGCACCCCGCCCCCGCGGACGGTGCGGAAGGTCGGGTGGCTGCCCGAGCGGATGGCATCCAGGCGCTGCCACTGCCAGGGCACTCGAGCGCGCTGCTCCCGGCCCTGTACGCTAGATGGCGTCGGGCTCCAGCTTCGCATCACACATCTCGCCGAGCAGTGCCAAGGCCCGCTGCCACTGCCTGCCCTTCGAGCACGCGCTGATCCCAGCATTGTAACTGACTCGACCTGTCTCCCGAGAGCTGTAAGCGAAAAAAAGAGGCCTCCAAGATCGCCCCAAGAGGGCTCGAGAGAGTTCCCAGCTAAGAGGCGTCGGAGACGGCCTCAAGAAGGCCAAACAGAGCCCATGACGGCCAACGACGGCCCCAAGCGAACTTGACGCTGCCCCGAGGAGGGCCCGAGGAGGCCCGCCGAGACGCCGAAACCATCCACCAGACTCGCCTTCTCAAAACCAAGACGGCCCCCAAACGGCCTAAGACAGCCCAAGACGGCCCAAGAGGGCCCACGTCGGCCGACGAAGGCTCCACCTGCCCATCAAGGACTGGCCCATAGGATGCCCAGACAGCCCTAAAATGGCCCAGGCGAGCTCCACGAGAACCAAGGTGGGGGAGAGGCGCCCCCTGGCGAATCAGAGTGCTTCTTTCGCCCGGCCTCGATACCTGTACGACCACCCGTCGGGTGATTCGGAGGTTGTGGGGGGGGACCAATTGACGACAACAGCGATAATTGTGATGGTGTCGATGCGGGTGATGCGCCCGCGAGCTGGTGACGCTGAAGGGTAGCGGTTTTGGTGACGATGCGTGATAACGATTGTGATGGTGAAACGATGCATGGCGATGATGCTGGTGATGAACTGGGCATCGCAAACGGGCAGCACGCAGACATAGCAATGCATCATGCAACCTCGGCTGGCAAAGCCTGGCGAATCGGCGGCGCCGGAACACCGTCGGGACACCATATGGACACCATCGGGACACCATCTGGGTACCGCCATGAAAACTTGTTTATCGAATCGCGACTGACCCCACCACCTGTCACACTCTATCACTCAGGCAGTCTAACGATCAACTTGTCTCCCTGTCCACCTCACAATCGATCTCACTGTCTATCCATCGATATCACGCTCGATCGGACTCACTATCCATCGATCTCACTACCTTTTGACCGATCGATCTCACGGGACAACCATCGATGTAACCATCGGGGCAACATCGGGACACCATCGGGCCACCATCGGGGAACCACGGGGACACCATCGGGGCACCATTGGGACATTTTTGGGGCACCATCGGGGCACCATCGGGGCAACATCGGGACACCATGCGGACCATGGGGACAACATGTGGACACCAGCGGAACACCATGTGGACACCATGTGGGCACCATCGGGGGCACCATCGGGACACCGTCTGGACACCATCGGGACACCATGTGGGCTCCATCGAAACACCATCGGGGCACCATCGAGACAGCATCGGGACACCATCTGGAGACCGTCGAACCACCGTCGGGACACCAGCGGGACACCAGCGGCAAACCCCCGGGGCCACCGCGGGCAGACCGGGGGGCACAGCATCATCTGGCTCGATTTCGCCCCAGCCACGGCGGGCTAATTCAGCTCGCCCGCCCACGCAGCTCCGCCTCGCCCACACGCGCTACGCGAACGCGAAATCGGAACGGATGTCCTTGCGGTGGCTCTCCGTCTCACTTCGATCTCACCCTCAACGAATTCGAAATCTCGACATCTTGATATCGGGGCATACGGACGGGAGGAGGCTCGATCTTTTGATATCTCGATGTCGGGGCGCGCGGTTGGGCGGGGAGTCGATATCTTCATCTCTCGATATCGGGCGCGCGGCCAGGCGGTGACTCGATATTTCGGTACCTCGATCCCCGGATATCGGGGCGCGCGGCCAAGCAAGGACTCGATATCTCGATATCTCGATATCGGCGGCGGGGCCGGGCGGGGACTCGATACTGCGATATCTCGATGTCGAGCATCGGGGGCTTGTCCTCTCGAATCCGCAATCAATCGACGTCCATGGGGCTTGTGCCGATCGAAATCTAGATCGCCACATCGGGATGTCGGGATATCGAGCCCCAGTATGGGATAGAGAAAGTTCCAACCGCAGCTCTCCGAAAAGGAGGTGTGTGTTCCACGTCATCGTCATCGTCGTCGTCAACGTCGTCGACGTCCACGTCGGCGAGGAGTAGCGAGGAGGCATGGGCGAGGAGCAAGGGAGGATCATCGAAGGGGGAGAAGCGAGGAGCGATGAGAGGGCGGGCAGGGTGGGAGGAGGGAGACGCGATGAGGGAGGAGGGAGGCCACCTCCTCCTCCTCCTCCTCCTCCTCCTCCTCCGCCTCCTCCTCCTCCTCCTCCTCCTCCTCCTCCTCCCCCCCGTCCTCCTCCTCCTCCTCCTCCTCCTCCTCCTCCTCCTGTGGCGGTGACCACACACGCATCTGCCACTTCAGCGCGTGCCGAGCTACGGCCTCGACACATGTGTGGCGGCACTGGTGGGGCCGTGTTGGAGGCCAGTCGAAGCCATCCTGGGAGCATCCTGGGCGCTGTATCGGTGTCGCTTCTAGGTCAGCTGCACCAAAGCTCAGGAGTAAGGACATGTGACACTAAGAGAATCGACCATACTCCAAGTGTTTTCTTCAGTAGCACCCCAGGTCCACATATTCGAACGCTCTACAAAGAAGAGGTGCTCATAGACAACGCCCAGGGTCCAGCACAGAGGCTTGGTTTTCTTCCACGAAGCCTGGAGTCCCTGAGAGTCGACTCGCTTTCTTAAGATGCCTGGTCCTCCTCCTCCCCCTCCCCCTCCTCCTCCTCCTCCTCCTCCTCTTCCTCCTCCTCCTCGTCATCCTCCATTCCTTTTCATACATGACTTCTCCTTGTCGCACCCCGAGGCCAAATTTTAGGGCGGGCCGGGCGTTTCGCCTGAGACTTCCTCACCTCTTATGCCTCTGAACCTTAAAAAGTGGCAGCACCTTCTCAGATGGAGGGCGGGTGGTTTTCAAAATGTGGCTCTCGCCTTAGCGCCGCGCACGTCCGTTTAAAAAGCTGATTGATGGCGGGTGGTTTTCAAAAGTTGGCTCTCGCCTTAGCGCCGCGCACATTCATTTTAAAACTTCGCAAGGGTTTCACGCATTGAGGGCGGGGGTGGTTTTCAACATGTGGCTCTCGCCTTTGCGCCGCGCATATTCGTCTTAAACCTGTGCAAGAGCGTCACGGATTGAGGGCGGGTTGTTTTCAAGATGTGGTTCTCGCCTTAGCGCCTCGCCCATTCTTTTTGAACATTTGCAAGAGCTTCACGGATTGAGGGCGGTTCCTTTTCAACATGTGGCTCTCGCCCTTGCGCCGCGCACATTATTGTTGTTTTAGTTGCAAACGCTTCACGGGTTGAGGGCGGTTCCTTTCAAGATGTGACTCTCGCCTTAGCGCCGCGCACATTCGTTGTACACTTTGCAAGAATGTCACTGGCTCCCATGATTCACGTACCAGGAATTGTGTTCTGGAAAGGTTCAAGATCAAGCGGGTGCAACAATTACGTTGATTCGCGGTGCTGACATCCCAAAACGGCGTTCTGGCACGAATCCCGACTGTCAAGACGCAGCAGTCAGGTTGATCCGTGACGTCGGAATCCCGAGAACAATGTTCTGGCATGCTGCAGGATCTTCAAGCGGCTGTCTTCCAACGAGGCTGTTTCCTCACTCGAAATGAGCCGTTGTGGGGGTCTATGAAGAGGGAGCTTGGAGGGAGGGCCGACTCCAATATCGTTGATGAATCTTGGGTTTCAAACTGGTCCTCCTCTCCTCCTCCTCCTCCTCCTCCTCCTCTTCCTCCTCCTCCTCCTTCTCCTCCTCCTCCCTGCTCCTCCTCCTCCTCCTCCTCCTCCTCCATCCTCCTCCTCCTCCCCCTCCTCCCCCATCCCCCCATCCTCCTCCTCCTCCACCTCCACCTCCTCCTCCATCCTCCATCCTCCTCCTCCTCTCCCATCCTCCTCCTCTCCCATCCTCCTCCTCCTCCTCCTCCTCCTCCACCTCCTCCCTCCTCCTCCCTCCTCCTCCCTCCTCCTCCCTCCTCCCCCTCCGGGTGTAGTTCCGCGGGCCGCGCGCTTTCACCTCCGCGCCCTCGCGCCGCCGCCCCTGCGGCTCGGGCCGCGGCGCGCGACAGCGCAGCTTACCTTCGCGCCACCCCGCGGGTGACCTCCTCAGCTCTCTGTCGGGCGGGTGGCAGTGGGCAAGCAAGCATGCAACATGCCGAGTACGAAACGCACATGAGCACATAGCCACTATCGCGTGGTATCGCAATACTTGCTGACTGCGACACGCCACGCCGTGGCCGAAATGGTGCCCTGCCAGAGCGCCGAAGGGCCTCCACACCCCCAGCTGCTTCGCAGGCGTGCCTGTAAACTTCATGGGAGCACGTTGCTCGTGGTCGACCTCTCTTTCTCTTGGTGGGAGGGGGTGACCTAAATGGGGGGTGAAGAGAAAGGCCCTAAAGGGGCCCTTTAGGGCCCCTGCTGGCTCCAAAAGAAGCCCGACACGGGGCCCTTGAGGGCCTTTTTCTTCACCCCCCCACCTGGGCCACCGCGCCCCGGCGCGATGGGAGCGTCCGTGTGGATACTCTCGGAAGCCGCTGGGGCTTATCTACAGGCGGATTGTTGGAAGAGAAATGAAACAACGTAAAACAATCGTCAAACATGGTCAAAAGAGCACGGCTCATCTTCCCCAGACTATGCTTTACTATTCTCGGAGATGCCTTCTGTAGAGGGACACGCCCGACTCAAGCTTATCTCAGCCTCATCTGGGAGCCATCACCTCGAGCTGCACGGGGGAGAGCGCGAAACATGCCAGAAGCACAACCAACCTCGATGGTTTGTCTCTGGCAGCTCAAGCATCTTGCCAGCCCTGGGCAAACAATTTTGGGGTCTCCTCGAGCCATATTGGGTTTAGCTTTATCGTGGGAGCTGCCTGGGGGAACCCAGGACCTCCTGAACTGTCTCTGGAGGCCCCAGTGGGGGCTCGGTGGGACCGCCTTCGAGGGGCTCCGAGCCCTGCGGGTACTCCTGGGGCCTTCGAGCGGCTCCACAACTTCACTCGGTGCACGCGCACTTCCCCCACGCAAGGGGTCCTCCATTCTAGTCAAGATTATGTCGAGATGCAGCTTCGCCTCACACATCCCGCTGACCAGCTCCAAAGCCCGCTGCCACTGCTCGCCCTTCTCGCACGCGCTTATCCCAGCGCTCCAGCTGACGACGTCTGGCTCCAACTTCGCTTCCCACATCTCGGTGAGCAACGCCAGCGCCCGCTGCCACTGCTCGCCCTTCTCGCACGCGCTGATCCCCGCGCTGTAGCTGATGACATCGATCTCCAGCTTCACCTCCAGCATCTCGCTGAGCAGCGCCAGCGCCCACTGCCACTGCTCCCCTTTCTTGCATGCGCTGATCCCAGCGCTGTAGCTGACTATGCTTAGCCCGTGGATAACTTTCAACGCCAGCATATTCGCATGTCGGAATGAAGAGCGCAACGCGCACAACACACGGAAACGACTGCGATGATAAGCCAAATCGCGACACGGCACGACGGTCACAGCGTAACATGGCACGACAGTGCATCTGCGAGGCTCAGCCTGCTCGCGACACAGCACGGTGCAAGCACTGCAGCGCAGCACAGCACAACCAAATATGCATCTGGAAATGTAATCAAGCTTTGGGAGGCGGGGGATCACACGCCACACCACCCTGGGGAGGGGGATGGGAGCGACGCAACGTCGGCGGCCGGCCCCACAGATTTGGGAGATCTTTGACGCGGTCACACGGGGAAGCTAGGAGGTTTAGAACGTCTAGGTCGCTCAGGCCCGCATACGCCATGCGGTGCGTGGGATTATCCTCCCTTCCTGTCATCAAGCAGTTGCAGATTTGTTTGGTCGTATGGAAGCTAGGCACCGCCGCGGGCCGGAGGCAAAGACGGTCGGGGGCGGGGTGAAATCACATGTCGACACAGGGGAGAAGTCAACCGCCCCACCCCAGAAACCATGAGGACCAAACAACACGCCCGGCTATCCCTGGTCGTGAATATCTCATTTTCAAACGTACAAGCAAGCGCGCAAAACAATGTGTGTAATATAATTACTTATTTATTTATTTTTCTATTCATTTATATGTCTATATATATGTATACATATATATTGGGGGGGGGGCTCGCGGGTTCCCTGGACCACGGACAGTGAGCGATCTACACGCGTCCCGCGGCAGCTGGCCCATGCCAGAAGCCGAGCGGCGGAGGAGGCCCGAGCGGCGGAGGAGGCCAAACAACGTGTGTAATATAAAACGCGTCCCGGCGGCACCGCCCAGGAGACGGCTCCCCGCCTCCGTTGATCGCCACCGTTCGGCCCCGCAATCAGGGCACGCGGTGTCTGGGCTTGGTGTTTGAGGCCTGCCTGGACCGCCACAGAGGAAGACTGCGTGAGACCAGCCCGTCGGCGGCAAGGGGTCTCGGCTTAAGTCGGGCGTGTCCCCCTACAGGGGGATTTTCGACGAAAAAAACAAACCCTCATAAATTACTCCAGAATGGTCAACAAATACTTTAAACAATCCCCTGACTATTTTTTGACTATTTTTGGATTTTCCCCCTGTAGAGGTACAGGCCCGACTTCAGGCAAGGGGTCTCGGCACATCTGCACGACGTCTTTCCCACGTTTGTGGCTGCCATGTTAAAGCTGTCGACTCGCGCCGGGGTGGCCGGAGGTCTGGCTGCCCAGCTGTGATGTCGCGGGGCTGCTTGCCTTGGGTGTTTTGGGGTCCCCTGGGGCGATCTTGGGAGCATGTGTCATATTCCGGCAGCCCTGGGTGGAGGAACGAGCAGAGATGCCTTGTGGCCCACCTTGGGGCCATACGAAGGGCTGCATGATGGATGCCCTCATTTGGGCTCTCGCGGGACCTCTCTGGGCCATCTTCGTTAGGGTTCGTTGGGGCCTCGCGGGGCTCTTGGGGCATCTTCGGGTCAGCGCCTGGGCCCTCGTGAGGCCGTCTGGCGATTTCTTGGAGGCCAGCCAGGACCATCCTGGGTATCTCCAGGGCGGAGCCACCATACAGCTTCTTGGAGCCACCTTGGCACCATCGTGGGGCGTCCCGGGCAGCCTTCGGGACCTGCTGGGCCGTCGCGGGCGTCTCCTCGAGGCCCTTTTGGGCCGCAGGGGCTCCACTTGTCTTCTGGGAACATCCTGGAGGCGACTGGCTTTGCGTGGAAGCACGCGAGGCCGATGGAAAGGCATTGGAGCGACGATCACCAATGGGCCTTACGCGAGATGACGTGGCGACCTTACGCAGAAGCTTACGCGGGCCGCCGGTGCGGCACGCTGCGTTGGAAGCGAGGGCGCTTACGCGCGAGCTTACGCGGGCAGCTTACGCGCCAATGTCGGCGCAGACGACCTCGCTTTTCTGTCGCTCATGTGGATCTGGCGCCCTCTTCGCACGCACGGCGCCTGGCATGCAGGAGAGATGCTGGCGTCGGGCTCCAGCCTCGCCTCACGCATCTCGCCGAGCAGCGTCAAGGCCCGCTGACACTCCTCGCCTTTCTCGCACGCGCTGATCCCAGCATTGTAGCTGACTGGTGTAAACCCGTGGACTGAATCCACGGTTTGCTGAATCTGGCCTGGGACTCGCAAGCCGTATGTCTCATTCACAGAACAGGGCGTCAAATCCGAACAGCTCGTGGAGCTCGTGGGGTGGACGGGGGGGAGGACAACAGAGCAGGTAATTAGAGGACCTCGGAGCGCCTGAGCGTGCCACGGCATCGACCCCGTGGAGGAGGGAATACGGTGAGTTCCTGTCGTAACGAGCTGCGATGTTGTTCTTGACACCGCGAGGAACGCTCAACCCTGCAAAACTGGCAGCCTTGAAAACACGAGATCGTTCACGTCGCCCGATTCTGGACCACGGTCGGCGTTGAGCCCCTGATGCCGGCGCTGAGGTCGCCGCCCCTTCGACGCGACGCGCGTCTACGCACCCCTCCCCCCTGCTCGGTGAGGGGGGCCCGGAACCGCGTTCACGGCGGAGGCAGGCAATGCATAGAAGGAACGGCACGAGGAGGAGGAGGAGGAGGAGGAGGAGGAGGAGGAAGAGGAGGAAGAGGAGGAGGAAGAGGAGGAGGAGGGGGAGGAAGAGGTGAATCGTGGCCTGGAGGAGGGGGGGGAAGAGGAGGAGGAGGAGGAAGAGGAGGAGGAGGAGGAGGAGGAGAAGGAGGAGGACGAGGAGGAGGAGGAGGAGGAGGAGGAAAAAACGAGCGCTCCAGGAGGCGCGGGGATGCTAGACGATGGGGAAACGCCATGAACATAAACTTTTGGTGTTCCGCACGGATTTTTTGGATCTGCGCTGGGCCCCCCTCGCTGAGGCGCGGAGCGCGCCAGGGTCGCCGGCAGGGGGCCCAAGCGCGGATCCAAGAAATCCGCGCGGAGCGCCAACAAATTATGTAGATGCTGTTTTTCGTCTTCGGGATGCACTCCCTCTGCCTCGGGCGCGGCCCAACCGACCCCCTGTGTGACGGACGCTCTCGCGACGACCTCCACGCTCTGGAAGTTGCCTCCGGTCGCGTGCGTGCGCCTTGCCGTGAGGCGATGAGGTCTCTACGGGAGAGCGCTGGTCCGCTTGTGGGTGGGTGGGGCCGTTCCTGAGCCACGTCCCGCCGGGCTGTCAGCGGGGCGCGCTGGCCTTCCACCGTGACCGGGCACCAGTACTGCGCCATGACGTTCTAGCTGGGGGGAGCACGCTCCACACGGGGCCCCGCATCTCCACGTCATGTTCTCCCGCGCCACGCGCATTCGGAACATGCTGATCCTGCGGTCGCCCCCGCGGGAATTCCCGGAAACCGGGCCGCTGGTGTCCTGGCGGAGCGGGCGTTCAGGGAGTCCGGCAGGAGAGCGGAAAAGGTGCAGGGCAGAGGTGGAGCAGCTCGCGGAGGAGCTGGGCTTCCTGCTACCTCCTGCCTGATGGCGGCCGCGACTAGCTCGGTACCTGCGGGGATGTCCCAACGGCTTGCTTGCTCCCGCGCCCCAGCAGCTCGCGGGGTTGTCGGGGGTGTCCCAACGGCCTGGCCCGCGGGATGGCCCCAACGGCTGCGCGATGTGGCCAGTCGAGAATGCGCCCGTGCTGGCCGAGGCGGCGACGGCGCCGAAGAAAATCGACACGCGCGCTCTTGCAATAAAGAAGGGAAGAGGTGACGGGGGGTGAAAAAAGCAGGAGGGCGAGGAGGGGGCAACGTAGGGAGCTGCGCCAGGTCGGGGAAGCGAAAGATGCAGAGGAAACAATAAGGACGTCTCACTAATCACGAGACCGACGATGAGAGGCATTACAGGATTAACCGAGAGGATTCTCATGTGGGGTCCTACCGTGGGAATAGTTCGAACAAATCTTGCAGCCCTCTGGAGCCGTCTGGGGCCGCAGGAGGCCCGACAAGGTGAAAACGATAAAGTCCCACAAACACCGTAGGAACATGTACAATGTTGGCCGCCTCGTGCCTTCATAGAGGCCCTGTTGGAGCCTCCGGGGCCTCCGGGGCCGTCTGGAGGCCGTTTTGGGCAATATTGGGGCCCTGTTGGGCCCTCTGGATGTAAAATGCTGTGCTTTCCTCATGCATTAGATGTGATTGTGCTGTTTAATACTGTCAAATGGAAATTTTGGAAGAAAAAAAAAAAAAAAAAAAACGCCATCTTGGGCCACCTCGAGGCTTTCTTGGGCTGTCTTGGAAGCACCTTGGGCGACCCTCGGGGCCCTCAGGGTGGCGCGGAAAATCTCGCCGGACCCAGCGCACAAGACCCCGGGCATTGCAGCAGAGGCTGGCGCTGGCCTGTGGCCTCCCGGCCACGAAGTCTGTGCGATGTGGCACACTGGGTTGGACGCCCGAGTTATCCGGGGTAACTCGGGTCCGGGGTAACTCGGGCTTGGGTTCCCGAAAAACGAACCCGAGTTATCCCCGACCCGAGTTACCCCTGATGATTCGGGGCCCTGGACGCCCGAGTTATCCGGGGTAACTCGGGTCCGGGGTAACTCGGGCTCGGGTTCCCGAAAAACGAACCCGAGTTATCCCTGACCCGAGTTACCCCTGATGATTCGGGGCCCTGGACGCCCGAGTTATCCGGGGTAACTCGGGTCCGGGGTAACTCGGGCTCGGATTCCCGAAAAACGAACCCGAGTTATCCCTGACCCGAGTTACCCCTGATGATTCGGGGCTCTGACGGGGTCGGGAGGGGATGTTGCCGAAGGCCTTCAGGATGACGCCGGGCGCGGACTTCGCAGCTGCCGTTGCTGCCTGCAGCTGCAGGGTGCTGGTGCCTGCTGCCTGCTGCCTGCTGGTGCTGCTCCTGCTTGCTGCTGCCAAGTGCGGCCGCTGGTGCTGCTTGCCGTGGCTGCGTGCTGCTTGAGGCTGCACGGCGCTGCTTCCCAGTACTCCTGCTGGCTGGGGCATCCTGCTGCGCTTGAGCAGGCCGGAGAGGGAGGAGCGAGGAGCGAAGAGCGGGGAGTCGGGGTCGCTGGTGGCGGTGACAGGTGCCAAGAGCAGGGAGCGAGCAGGGCGGAGAGGCGGCCGAGGACGGGACGAGGGAGAGCCTCTCCGGGAGCGCCGGCGCCGGAGGAGCGGAGGAGGCGGGTGCCAACAGCCAAGGCGGAGGAGCGAAGAGGGGTGAGTCGAGGGAAGCCAGGAGCGAGGCGAGAGGAGGGCGAGGCGCGAGGGTCGAGCGGCGGGGGGCGAGGAGCGCGGAGCGGGGCTCGAGAGCTGCCAGCACAGGGATGGCCCAGTGGCCTGGCCGCGCGCGTGGCCGAATGGCCTCCCCCTGGGCGCGCTCCACGGGGCTGGGGCCTTCGCGGGGCTTTCCTGGTGCTCTTGGGCTTCCGTGAGGCCCTCCCCCACCTCCTGGGGATTGTATCTTTTGCCCGTCCCTCGCGCCCCCCTGGGCCCCTGGGGCCATCTGGGTGCCCCTTGCGGCCTCCGGGTTCTGCTGTCGGAATTGTCCGGGGGCGCCATCGGGGGCCATCTTGGAATGGTCTTGGGCCGTCTTGGGGTCAGCTTGGAGGCCGTCTGGGCCCATGCGGGGCCATCTTCGCAACGTCACGGGCCCTCCTGGAGGCTCTTGTGGGCGAAGGGTTCCGCTTGCAGGTGTCCATGGCCCCTTGTGGAGTGCTCCGTAGAAAGATGCCGGAGCACAAAAGCAAATGCGCTACAGTGGGGCTGTGGAAATAAGGAGCGCCAACTGAGGAACGAAGCCCCCTTTTGGCCCCCAGAAGCGCATGCGTGCACGAGGAGGGCGGGAGGAACAGCCATGGAAGGCCCTAAAGGAACATCGAGCCCCTTTCGTACCTAAACTGCTCCTCACTTCAGCGTCCTGGCTCTATTTTCGCTGGAGTCTTGGGGCTCTTGGGGGGGCTCTGTGGAGCCGCCTACCGCCCCTCGAGGGCCGCGGACAGAAGTGGCCGTCTGCGGCCGTCTTGGAGGCGCCGTGGGGCCGTCCGGGGCCCTCGGGGACTGCGTCGGGAAGCCTCCGAGGGCCTGCTCGGCGCAGAGCCCTGCCGGGACGCCCTGGACCCTGCAATGTGCCCGTGGGGCCCATCCGCAGGCGAGTTGCTCATCCAAGATGGCTCAGCCGAGTGGTAGCGCATCGTCCCTTCTGGGTCACCCTGCGGTCTCCCTTGAGGGAGGCTTGGCTGGGTGAGGGACTTTCCTTCGGGGTTCTCGGGGTGAGTGCAGCGTGCGACAAGGCCTCCTGGGCTGTCTGTGGCACTGCAGGCAACTGTCGAACACGTGATACTGCTTGCTGCTCGTGCTTGCACTTGATGGTGTGGGCAGATGGTTGACTGTTGTTGGTAATGCTCCTTGCTGAATCTCGTTGACGGTGCGAACTGTTTGCGGCTTACCGCGGGCTACTGTACATGAACACCTACTCGTACGCTGCCACTTATGTAGCTTGCTGATGCTCGGTGTTTCTTGGTGTGTCGTGCTGCTGCTTTTTGTCATGTGCTGTTTCTTGCCCCCACGAATTGGTGTTTGCTGGTGGGTGCCGCTATTTGTTATAGCCTGGGGCTGCTGCGTGCTGCTGCTTGTTGGTGCTGCTTTATGCTGTCCGTACGCTGCTGCATGCAGCAGCTGGCTGCAAATCATGCATGCTGCTGCTAATGCTTGCCGCTGCGGTTGCCACTTCTGCCTGCGTCGTGCAGGTTCAGGCTGCTGCTGCCTTCTGTCTTTGATACCGCCGATTGCGTCGTGCCGCCGTCGCGAGCGTGCGGACAATTCCTAAGTCCCTGGGTTCCTTCCGGGGCTGCCTTGGGCTTGCTGGTGATTGCAGGTGCTCGCATCTCTTGGCGTCGGCCGGTAGCTCTGCTGATGCCAGCTGTGCTCATTGCGTGCTGCGACTGGTGGCTCGTACCTTTTGTCTCTCTCGGCCCACATTTGAGCCTCGTGATTGCCTCTGGGCTGATGCTTGTGGCTCTCCTGCTGGCTATGCGGCTTGCCCTCTTGAAGCCCTCTTGGGGCTACACTGGGCATTGTTGGGTTGTCTGGGGACGCTCTTTGGGCCATATACTGGGAACATCAAAAGACCGGCTGGAAAAGTCGATGGGCCATCGTGGGATGGTCGTGACCCGTGTTGAAACCGTCTTGGGGTCGTCTTGGAGGCCGTCCGGGGCCATCCTGGGCTATCTTCGGGGCGGCTTGGGCCCTCCTTGGGGCCGTTGTGGGCTCCATGGGCCATCCTGGACGCCTCTGGGCATCATCTTGAAGACGCCGGTGGAGCCGCAGAGCCACAAGAAGTTGACGATTGGGGCCTCTGAGGAGACCTGCGCGGCGGAACCAGGGTGGGGCCGCTTGGGGTCTCGCGTGGCGCCTGCGGAACGCATGCAGGAGCCTCGTGGCGGCGTCTTGGGCTGTAAACCCTGGAGCATTGGTTATGAGGAGAATCCTGGAGGCCTCGCGCGGCAACTTGAGACCACATTTACGTCGGATCCACGTCGGAGTTACGTCGGGTTCACGTCGGACTACGTCGGGTTTACGTCGGACTTGCGTCGGACTGACTCCGGAGCATCGCCGCGCGAACGTCGACCCATAGCTTACGGAGCTGACAAGTCGACTAGATCATGCTACTAGAAAGCGCCGCGAGCCTGGTGACCATCACCTCGAGCTGCAAGGGCTCCCCACGAGGGGCTCCTGGGCTGCCCCTGGGCCCCAGGGGAAGCCCGAGAGGGGAGCCCTGCCCGCTTGAGGCACCAGAGCATTCCCGCACGCAAGTGGCCCAGACGAGGAGGAGGAGGAGGAGGAGGAGGAGGAGGAGGAGGAGGAGGAGGAAAGGAGGATGACGTCGGGTTCCAGCTTCTCCACCCGCATCTCGGCGAGCAGCGTCAGAGCCCGCTGCCATTGCTCGCCCTTCTCGCACGCACTGATGCCAGCGCTGTAGCCGACAACGTTCGGCTCCAGCTTCGCCTCCCACATCTCGGCGAGCAGTGCAAGGGCCCGCTGCCACTGCCTACCTTTGCCGCATGCGCCGACGGTTGCAAGGTACTGTCCCGGGGTGGCCGTCGAACGTAGTCGGGACGCTTCGAGGAAGAGCTGCAGCGCTGCGTTCCATTGCTTGATCCTCCCGCAACTCTTGATGGTCGCCTCGAGGGAAGAGCCGCCGTGCCGAAATCCTGGCCGAACCTCTAGCATGCTTTAGCCAAGACCGCATCGGGCTGACCTGTGGGCTAGCAGTGGCCAGCGTCCGCGCACGATTGCACACTCGGGGAGCGAGGGCGGTGACTGGTGGCATTGCAGCCTGCTCGTGTGACGTCGTGCTCGCGCAGCTGCCAGGCTCCTCGCCTGACTGTGCTGTTCCCCTCTTGTCGATTTGCATGCTGGACTGCGTATTTGACATCCTGCTTGCGTCATTGCTTGTTCGTCAACTCGCCGCTGCTTACTGCTGCTTGATGCGACTGGCCTTACCAGCCATTTCGTGCTGCTACAGCCTGCTGGTTACTCGTGGGTGATGTTGCTTGTTGCGGGGTGGTGATGTTGCTGCTGCGATCAGTGATTGTCGCTGCATGCTGCTGCTGTTGCACGCTGCAGGTGCGCCTCTCGCCTGCATCCTGCTGCATCTTGCTGGCTCTGCGTGTTGTCTGTGCCCGATGCTGCCTGCCGCTGCTGCTGGCTCCGGATGGATGCTACTGTTACTAGTTATGCTTGCCTTTGCCTGCAAGGGATGATGATTGAGGAGCAAGGGACGAGCAGGCAAGAGGCAGCGAGCAGGGTAAAAGGGGCAGGAGGAACAGGACGAGAGGAGCGTTGAGCACGATGACTGGGGTGGGCGAGTAAGGGGGGGGGCAAGGAGCGAGGCGTGAACATCGAGGGGCGAGGCGAGACGAGCGAGAAGCAAGGACGAAGGGGAGAAGCGAGGAGGGAGCACGGAGAAGCGAGGGGGTGGGGAGGGAGCGAGACGGGAGTAGCGAGAGCCGAGGAGCATGGGGCCATGGGCGAGGGGCGACGAGGAATGAGCGCGGAAGGCACGAGGAGCGATAAGCAATGAGCCTGGGGCGAGCATCCTCCTCCTCGCCCCCCCCCCCCCCCTGTCGCCGCCGAGCCCTGTCCCGTCGCCGTCGTCTGCCGCCGACATCGCGGCCGTCCGCCGCCGTCGCCGCTGTCCGCCGTCGACGTCGGCCGAGGAGGAGGAGGAGGAGGAGGAGGAGGAGGAGGAGGAGGAGGAGGATGGGAAGGAGGAGGAGGAGGAGGAGGAGGAGGAGGAGGAGGAGGAGGAGGATGGAGGAGAGGAGGAGGAGGAGGAGGACGAAGGAAGGAGGAGGAGGAGGAGGAGGAGGAGGAGGAGGAGGAGGAGAGGAGGAGGAGGAGGAGGGGAGGCGGAGGAGGATGGAGAGAGGAGGAGGAGGAGGAGGAGGAAGAGGAGGAGGAGGAGGGGGGGGGAGGAGGGTTCAGGAGGAGGAGGAGGAGGAGGAGGAGGAGAGGAGGAGGAGGAGGAGGAGGAGGAGGAGAGGAGGATCGGATCGGAATGCCCAGATGGGGAAGTGCACAGCACTAGAACCTGAACAAATCAGGACGACTAGCCACATCTCCTGACCTCCTTCTCCCGAGCTCTCTGGAGAAGGGCCGCCATTCTCTGCTCATGCATTGGGGCATTCCCTGGGGCCGAGAACGAGCGAAGTACCACGGTACAGTCAGGGACCGATTCCGAGGGGGGCCTGCAACTGAACCGAGAGGGGGGTCCTAGGAACAACCGACACCCAGCTCAAGAATGCCCTCACCTTACGGTTTGGCGGCTTACCCTGAAGGTATCGGTTCAAAACTTCCTGACTTTCCTTTGTGCGGCGCTCTCGAGGCCTTAAACGAGGGTGTGCCAGTTCAATTGCAGTGTCCTGCGACTATGCCCCACACTTCAAACAAATCCAGCACCGCTTCTCGTGAACCTTGCCCTCCACAATCTCAGGCCGAGGGCTCACGAGCTGCATTCCAGCCACGACGACAAGGTGCCCCATGGGGTTCGTGAGAAGCCTCTTAATGCTGGCTGGGAGCCCTTTGCAGCCGTTAAGCGTTGAGACTGATTGGTCATCCCCCCAACTGCAAGCAACGACGACATCGCGTGCCTATCTCGGGGATCGTCTCCCACTCGTGCCAGTCCTGAATTACACGGTGGTTCCTACGGCGGCCCTTCCTCCTGAGCCACTTCAGAGAAACCTCAAACAATAGAAGGATGTGAGCCGCCAGCTTACAGAAACTCCCTGCCCTACTCTCGGCTAAGTCAAGTTCGTGCAAGAAAATAAGGCTCGCACACTCATGCACTTCAACAGCCTGCGTTGCACGGTAATGAACTAAAGCGTTGGCTATCGCGAACTCGCGCTCTGATCTGTCCAGACTGTCTATCTGCTCTTGGGGCCGATGCGCCTTCACATGACGCACCTGCTGAATGAACGATGTTCCCTCCAACGACTGGGCAACCACACGAAGTCCAGCAAATTTACTGCTTGCCCGGATCTGTAGCTCAACATTTTTCTGCATGACTGTTATCGCCGCCATGCAATCCGCTGCCAACACCGCAAGTCTGCTGGCCACTTGCCCGCACAGCGCTGTGCCGACATGTTCCGACATCGCTGGCGTCTGTGGAAACGTGTCGTGGACCACTCCACGCATTACAGGAGGAGGAGGAGGAGGAGGAGGAGGAGGAGGAGAAGGAGGAGGAGGAGGAGAGGAGGATGGGGGAGGAGGAGGAGGAGGAGGAGGAGGAGGAGGAGGAGGGGAGGAGGAGGAGGAGGAGGAGGAGGAGGAGGAGGAGGAGGAGGAGAGGAAGAGGAGGAGGAGGAGGAGGAGGAGGATGGGGGAGGAGGAGGAGGAGGAGGAGGCGGAGCGTCCTCAAGGAGGAGGAGGAGGAGGAGGAGGAGGAGGAGGAGGATGAGGAGGATGGGGGAAGAGGAGGAGGAAGAGGAGAAGGAGGAGGAGGAGGAGGAGGAGGACCAGTGTGAAACCCAAGAGTCATCAACGATGTTTGGATTCACCCTCCCTCCAAGCTCCCTCTTCGTAGGCCCCTACAACGGTTCATTTCCATTGAGGGAACTGCCTCGTTAGAAGACAACCGTTTGAGGACCTCGAAGCATGCCAAAACATTGTTCTCGGGATTTCAACGCCACGGATCAACCTGACTGCTGCGTCTTGACAATCCGGAATCCTGCCAGAACGCCATGTCGGGGACGTGAACACCGCGAATCAACATAACTGTTGCACCAGCATGCTCTTGAATCCCTCCAGCACACAATTCCTCGTATTTTGATAACGGGAGCACGTGAAACTTTTCCACATGTTCAAACGAATGTACGCGGCGCTAAGGCGAGAACCACATTATGAAAACCAACCGCCCTCAATCCGTGAAGCTTTTGCCAATGTTTCTAGCGAATGTGCGCGGCGCTAAGGCGCGAGCCACATTTTGAAAACGGCCCACCCTCAATCCGTGAAGCTGTTGCCAATGTTTAAAACGAATGTGCGCGGCGCTAAGGCAAGAACCACATTTTGAACATTACCCGCCCTGAATCCGCGAAACTCTTGCAAACGTTTAAACCGAATGGACGCGGCGCTAAAGCGAGAGCCGCATTTTGAAAACCACCAGCCCCCAATCCGTGAAACTCTTGCATATGTTTAAAACGAGTGCGCGCGGCGCCAAGGCGAGAGCCACATTTTGAAAACCACCCGCCTTTCATCTGTGAAACTGCTGCCACTTTCTAAGCTTCAGAATCATACATGGCGAAGGCGCTTCATGCGAAACGTCCGTCCCGCCCGAAAAACTGGGCTCGGGGTGCGACAGGGAACAATTATGTATAAGGGAAAGGAACGGAGGAGGAGGATGAGGAGGAGGAGGAGGAGGAGGAGGGAGGAGGATGGAGGAGGAGGAGGAGGATGGAGGAGGAGGAGGAGGAGGGAGGCGGAGGAGGAGGAGGATGGAGGAGGAGGGAGGAGGAGGAGGAGGAGGAGGAGGAGGAGGAGGAGGAGAGGGAGGAGGAGAAGGAAGAGGAGGAGGAGGAGGAGGATGGAGGAGGACGAGGAGGAGGGAGGAGGAGGGAGGAGGAGGAGGAGGAGAAGGAGGAGGAGGAGGAGGAGGAGGAGGAGGAGGGAGGCGGAGGAGGTCGCCTCCGCCGCCGCCGCCGCCCGCCGCCGCCGGCCCGGCATCTCCGCCGCCGTCCGCCGCCGCCGCCGCCGACCTGCCGCCCGAGGCCGCCGTCCGCCCGGGCCCGGGGGCCTTCCCGAAGCTGGCCTTCACGCGGGCCCCGGCGGCGCTCGTCGCCCGGGAGCGCCGCCCGCGCCCCTCCGCCTGGCGGGCGCGCTGCCGCCGGCGGCGCCGCCGCCGTTGTCGGCGGCCTCGCCGGCGCCGCCGTCGGCCTCCGCCGTGGTCGCCGCCGTGATTGCCGCCGTGGTCGTCGCTGCCGCCGTCGTCCGAGGAGGGGCAGCGAGCGCGGAGCACGCAGGGAGCAGAATGGCGACGTCGGAGGCCTGGGGTGGGAGACGAGGCGGAGGAGAGAGAGAGAGAGGGAGCGAGGGAGGGAGGGAGAGACAGAGAGAGAGGGCATCGCGACGAGCTCGCGTAGCACGGAAGACGCAGTGTCTTCAGCCCCGTGGATCCCAGAACGGCACGGGCAACACAAACTGACAATTCCTTCTTCCATCTCCCATCCAGATCCACTCAGCAGATGCCCCATCCAGCGGGTGCCGAATGCTGGAAATCGCCGCGGACACGGGAGACGTCGGTGCAGAGGCGCCCCTTGAACAATCCGTCCGTGGGGCGGGGGGCCCAGCGGACAAGTTCCTGCGGTTCCCCGCAGGGGACGCAGAGGCGGAAGGGGCTGGGCCACACCCCTCTTGGGAGGCGCCGTCCTGCCTCCCCGCTCCTCTCCCCGGCCCTGCGCGCAGAATCCGGCAGCCACTGGCTCGTGAGTGCCCAGCCCAAGACGGCCAAAGCGTCACTCTCGCAGCACCTGCGCCGGAGAGCGCCCTTCGTCCCGCACCGCAAACAACGGCCACCGCTCACCACCCCACAGCCCGTCCAGCGCGCCAGGCTCAATGATGCGCTGGACAGGGCAGCCCGGAACGCACGCTCCTGACGTCTGCCCCAGCCTTGGGAGGTGGAGTCCGCTGCAAAAGCGTCTCGGAGCTGGACGCCAGCGGTAGACCGTCAACCTGGCTGCCGCCTGGGATCTCGCAGAGCTCCAAGCCGCTTGCCTTTTCGCACGTCTGCCGTGGAACAACCAGAGAAGCAGAGCGAGACAATCCGAAACCAACAGCAAGTGTTTCGGTTTCGACACGACGACAGTTGGCCGGGGGTGCGGAGTCCGCTGCAGGGCGTCCCAGAACATGAGGCGAAGAGGGCAAGCGTACCGGGTCGCGGCTCCATGCCTGCCGCCTCGGCTTGCGACCCCAAGACCCCGCGGCCCAGATTTAGGTCGGGCATGTCCCCCCACAAGCGGATTTTGGAGGGAAGCTGCAAAATAGTACAACAAGCCATCGACAATGATCAAGAATTGTTGAACATCGTCCCCAGACTATTTGTTTTATATGTTATTTCTGGGTACTCGCCCGCAGAGCGTTCAGCTGGGCGCCGATGGCGCGCACCACCTTTTGACCGATCCCCATCCCCAGCGGCGTGGCCTGGGCCCCACTGGCCGTTTTACCCCCCTAGATGGGGATGCAGGTCGTTCCTTTCGGGTTTCGAGGGGTCTATACCCAACTGGGGGGGTCATTTGTTGGGGTCTCGAAGGGGATGGGGATGGGGATGGGGGTCGGATAAACAATACTGAGTTTCTGGGACGCACATAGACATACAGCACGAGATGTCCTCCCTGGCGCCGCGCGTCCGCCCCGAACCTATAGTAGACCAATCTAATAACAGACCGTTTCCCGAGCGGTATAGCGGCATATGGCCAGAACGCGCCGGCCACGACGCATCATGCTACAAGGTTTCTCGGTGCGCGCGTCGCCACTGGGGGGCGGCGCACAGACAGTACTAGTACTACGGGGTGACGCCGAGTTCACCTCCTCCTCCTCCTCCTCCTTCTCTGCGCCGTGGCGAAGATGCCCCCGCTCGCCAGCATCGCACGGAGCCGCTGCCCTCTCCACCGCGCACCCACTCGACGGCCGCCACGATTTCAGGCTCCGAGGCTGTGCGCGGGGTGGCCACGGCCATGGCTCGGGAAGGACCACGGTTGTCCGAGGGAGCATCACAGGCTCGGTCGATGATCCCGTGCACTTGCATTTCTTGAGCGAGACGGGGAAGTCCAGCTGTCGTGTCTCCTGGGGCGAGTGGGACACTCCCTGTCCTGTCTGCGCGCCAACCATGGCGACGCTGCCCAGTTCCTGGAGCTCCATGTCCTCCACGACGCTGCGCAGGGCCAGCTGGGTCGGTTGCGCATCGTGGCCCGGAGGGGGGCCAGCGACAAGAGCATGCCCAACGTCGGCGCCGTGCTGCTGCCTGCAGTGACTGACCTCGTGGCATGCCGCTGCAGCCGCACAAATACCGCGTCTCCATGCAAGATTCAACAGCTCCCCAACAAATGACACACCGCGCCTGGACCACCATCACGTGCGAACTGAAAGCGCATCGCTGCCGCCCGCAGGGCATACCAGTGCGCGTGCTCATAGCACTTGTGCAAGTCGATCAGCACCGTGGCACTCACGAAGACCCCTGCGTGCCCGAAGGCGGGCAAGGCACTGGTACAAACCAGCCCGGTCGCATGAAGTAGCCGCGCACGGTCCCCAGATGAGCTTCTCCCTATATCTGTGCCTCCCGCTTGCGGCAAGCAGGCCGTCGCGTCCGGGAGCGCGGCCTGCTTGAGAGACGCAGTAACCTTATGAGGTGAATGCCGCCGTCAGGCTTGGGGACGAAGGTGACGTGAGACATAGGATCACCTCCAGCCGCCGCGGCTGGCGCTCGAATGCCGCGAAGATGTCCAGAAATCCCGCCAGGCACTCTTCGTTTGGAGCGCGCCGGTGCCGCCCTAGCCCCGCCTGGCACCCTCGCTGCGCGCCTTGCAAGGCCGCTGCAGGTCGTCGGCTGCCAAAGCTGGAAGCTCGATGCCGTCGTCCGCGGCGCAGTCCACGGGTCGGCTGCGCGCAAGGGCAAGGGTAGACCTTTGGCGCGCGGTTTGAGAGGGGCGCGCGGGGGGGGGGGGGGGGGGCAAACCCAAGCGCGCGAGCTGCTGCAATCGTACAGCATTCAGCGATCGGGGGGCCCCAACGGGCCTGCGCCACAAGCCACTCCGGCAAACGGGGTCCGCTACCGCGCCTGCGGGAATGCTCCAATGCGGCACCCGATCATCGAGGACCCTCTGGATGGCCTCCGCCCCGACCACGAGGAGGGCGTCCCCGCGGGTGTCCCCGTCGACGAGGGCGGAGGGGTGCCGAGGCTTCGCGGGCAGACTTCTGCACCGCCCTCCCGCCCCTACGCGACGACCCGACGTGCCCCCACTGCGCCACGCGGCTTGACGGGGGACGCGGGCTGACCAAACCTGGGCGCGCAAGCCGATGCTACAGTCAACCCGTGGCATAAGGATGCGCGGTAAGGATGCAAGGGCCTTGGAGGCCCATGTGCACGTTTTCCGAACGACGTTGGCCAACGAACGTGGCCAAGGATGGGCCGAAGGGGCAAGGATGCAGGGGTACCCTTGGGAAGGTTGCCCATCCTCTTCGTGCGGGTTGACTGTACCGCTTCGCGTGCAGCGATGGGGGGACCCCCACTGGGACCGCACCAAAAAAGGTCACTCTGGCGAAAGGTCACCCTTAGATGCAGCCGATCTCGGCACCTTCGCCTCGGCGCCCCTCCCGCTCTCGCTCGTCCCCCGCCTGCCCGCGCACCTGCGGCGTGTCGCCCCGACGACCCTCCGCGAGGCCGTCGATGAGGCCGCTCGGCGCCCGCGCGTGGATGGCGGGTGCGGCCTGGCACGCCCTCAGCTGGGATCGGCGCGGGGAACGGGGGTACACGTCGGTCGGAAGAAGTAGGTAGAACCATGAAGTAGGAAGGCGGATATAGTAGATTGGGTCCAGGTCCTCCCAGAGAATAACGAAGCACAGCAAAAGCGTGTCGATTATTGAAGTAGGAAGGCGCTTGAAGTAGATTGGGATCTGGGAATCCAAACTACCTACTTTCAACGACTGGCGTGTACAATGAAGACGTATATCAATGACGGGTGGCAAGAACGCAAGGCCCTTCGAGGCCGAAGTTGTTTTTTTGGGGGGCGGCAGACGACCAGCGAAAACGGCAAAGGACGGGCCGCAGAGGGAAGGACACAAGGGTACTGGGCGTTGACTGTATCAGTGGATGCCAATGTGGGCCTCACGTGGACGGACAGCGCATCGCGATCGCTGGCTGGCATGTGGTGGGATCAGTTGTGGAAGCTTGTGTGAACTCAAGTGGCATGTCTCTCTCCATTTCTCTTTTGCACTGTTCGCTCCTTACCTTCACTCGTGTTCGGGAACTGCCTGCGGCGAATAGCCTACGCACCTACGCGGTGCGCAGGTGGAGCCTACGCGAGAGATACCCCGAACAGACGGAAGTCTGGTGCCCTCTTTCACCGACATCTGGGTCCTCCTCCTCCTCCTCCTCCTCCTCCTCCTCCTCCGCCTCGTGCGAGTCTCTCTGCGAGGTTTGCCTCCTGGACTCCCCGCGTCTTCGACGAATTTTCCTAGCAGGTCTGGCACGCACGAGAAGCCAGCGCGCGGACGCCGAGCTTTTCTGCGAAGCTGACGCGAGAACCATCTCCTCATCCTCAGCCTCCTCCTCCTCCTCCTCCTCTCCCTCCTCCCTCCTCCCTCCTCCCTCCTCCCTCCTCCCTCCTCCCTCCACCTCCTCATCCGCCCCCTCCTCCTCGTGAAGCTTACGCTGAGCTTACGCGAACAGATGGATGTCTTGTGGCCTTCAGAAAGGGGGCCTATTTTGCGGTTTGGGGGCGATTTCTGATGCCCCCCCCCGAGCTGTCTTTGGCCTTTCTTGGCCCGAAGAGGGGGTAAAGACCTCATGGGGACGTGGGGGCCACCGATGGGCCTCGTGAGGATCTCGCCCTTGACATCGATATCTCAACCCGGGTCGTTTGGGAAGTCACTATCGCGAGAACCGCTGTTTCAGAATTATTTTCGGGGGCGCCGAACAGAGCATTGCCAAGTTGCAGCGCATGCTGTTGCAATGTCGCCATGCAGCAGTCGCAGGACAAACGGCACGAGTGAAGCATTGTGGGAGGCAGGGCAGGACAAGCCGCTGCCATGACACGCAGAACGTAGCATAGGGCAGGCCGTTGCTGCGAGAGGCTTATGGATCAACGCTCACTTGTGCCTGCGTGTGGCCACTGCGGGTCAACGCCTCTTTGGGCCCTCTTGGGCCCTTCTGAAGCAGCCGTCCAGCTTTCTGTGGCCGTCCCAGGGGCCCTCTTGAGCCCGCTTATGGGGCCCTCCTGGGGGCATCTGGGGCTGAACCGGGGCAGCCGCGGGGGGCCCTCACGGCCGTCTTGGGCCGATCTGGGCCCGAAGAGGCGAGGCCCCACAAGACCGTAGACACCCGAGAGGGGAGTCGACGGTTTGGGCACCCTGAGGCCGCGTCGGAGGTTCTCTTGGGATATGATGTGTCAACCTACTTTGGACTCGATCACCAGCGTGAATGTCGAACACCAGGAAACCACCCCAAAACTCGAGGGTTTTCACGTGCCGGGCCCTGGGCGAAACTCTTTCGACACCCTTTCGACACTTTTCTGGGTGCTCGAAATTATTTCTGGGATGTGGTCCTTAAGTACGATGAGGGCAACATAACTCTTGGGAGGCTCGTGGGCCGTCCTCGGGGCCACTCGGGCTCTCTTGGGGGGCGTCAGTCTGCCTGGGGCCCTCCTGGGCCCTCTTGGGTCCACTTAAGGGCCTCCTCTGGCACCCTTGGGCGTTTTCCGGGGGGCCTCTTCCGGCCCTCTTCGGGCCCTTTTAAAGTTCTCCGTGGCCGTCCTGGGGGCCGCTTGGACCGTATTGGGGTCCTCTTTGGAGCCCTCGGAGCCGTCTTCGGCCGATCTGGGCTAGAAGAGGCGAACACCCGGACGCAATGGAACACATATGGACAATCTATGCTTGCCTCTTCGGGCCGTCTCGGGGATCCTCTGGGGGAGCTCTTGGGCCGTCTCGGGAGTCTCTTTGGCTGTCTTTGGGAGCTTGGGTTAATGCGGGCGTGTCCCCCTACAGGGGCACGTTCGACGAAAACTGAAAAAAAAGTATTCAAAAAATACTAAAACAACAGTCCAAAAGTAGTCTGGGACTATCTTTCGAGTGTTCGTTGGCCATTTTGGGGGGTATTGTTTGGGGTATGTTTTTAATTTTCGTCGAAAATCTCCCTGTAGGGGGACACGCCCGACATAGCTCTTGGGCCGTCTCGGGAGTCCCTTTGGCTGCCTTAGGGAGCTTGGGTTAAGTCGGGCGTGTCCCCCTACAGGGGGATTTTCGACGAAAAATAAAACATACCCCCAAAATAATCAAAACATACTTCAAAATATACATCCCAAAAAACCAAACAGCAGTAGTCGACTTAAAGCTTGGGCCGTCGTCCGGCCCCCTCGGGGCCCTCTGTGACCCTCGTGGCGGCCTCCCATTGGCCCTCTGGGCGCTCTCGAAAGACACTCCGAGGTCCCTCTCGGGGCCGCCTTGGGGCCGCCTTGGGGCTCTCTTGGGGCCCTCTTGGGGCCCTCTTGGGGCCCTCTGGGAACCGCCTTGGGGCTCTCTTGGGGCCGTCGTGGGGCCCTCTCGGACGTCTCTTGGGCCGTCCTGGGGCGATCTTTTGAGGCCTCTCGGGCCGTCTCGGGCTGTCGGGGGCCCGAAACGGCGAAAGCCAGAGCAACTGTTGAAACATCCTAAGGGGGATCAAAATGTTCGGCCTCCTGCTGCCCTCCGGGAGGCCTCTTGAAAGCCTCTGGGGCCGTCTTGTGGCCCTCTTGGACCGTCTTGAGGCCATCGTAGGCCATCTTGGCGCGCTCTTCGGCCGTCTTGGAGCTGGCTTGGGCCTGTCTGGGGTCGTCCTCAAAACATCGTGGGCCTCTCGGGCGCCCCTGGGGCCGCCCTGGGGCCGGGTGGGCGGGTTACGCCGCGGCGCGCGCCCTTCGCCCCTCCCCTGGAGCCCCTCCCAAGAGGGCTTCGCACCACCAAGACGTCATCACTCGTACGTACCTCGCTCTTTCCGTCATCTGGTCATCTTGCGGCTGCCACCCCCTCTGCACCTCCCTAGTCTTATCTCCCCCGGCAAAAACGTCGCACTCTAAACACGCTTTCCGTTCTCTGACCTGGCCAAACCTCGCGCGCCAGAGCGCGAGGAGCCCGCGCTCTCTCGGCTGCCGGGCTCAGCCCCAGGACGCCGCTGCCGCCATTGAGGCGGAGCGAGCGGACCGCCACTCACACCCCTAGGTGATCGACATACAGTGGAGGCCAGTCCACAAGAAACCTTCCACGTGAAACCCAACCCTGAGACCCCAGGACGTCCATCGATCTTGATGTGGAAACGCCACGCTGCCCAGAGCGAAATCATCGAAGCCCAAGAACCCCAGGGCGCCCTGGAGGCAAGCAGGGTGTTTCTTGGCATGGGCCTCCACTGTATTGCTTCTGCCCCTGATCACGCCCCGACCCCTGGTTGGGGATGTGGATGAACTCCCGGCCTCCGAGGCCACGCTCGCTTTACCCATGCCCTGCTGCACCCGGCGCCCACAGGGGGGGGGGGCAGCAGCAGGGGTCTGGATCGAACGCCGATCGCCAAGGCACCCGCGCCATCGTGGCGCAGCGCTCAGTCCGGGCCTCGGGCGCAGGGTGCGCGGCCAGGCGGCACGTGGCCCGAGCCCGTGGAGCTGCGCCAAGTCCCCCGGCGCAGTGCCACTCTGCAATTTTGGGATCCCACGTCGGCTGCACCATCACTGCCGCCCGTGTGCCGCGAGGAGGAGGAGGAGGAGGAGGAGGAGGAGGAGGAGGAGGAGGAAGAGAGGAGGAGGAGGAGGAGGAGGAGGAGGAGGAGGAGGAGGAGGAGGAGGAGGAGGGGGAGGAAAGGAGGAGGAGGAGGAGGAGGAGGAGGAGGAGAGGAGGAGGAGGAGGAGGAGGAGGAGGCACCACCATGGCATGTCAGGTGCGCCGAGACGGGCAAAGGGCAGGCGCAAGAAGGAGGAGGAGGAGGAGGAGGACGGGGAGAGGAGGAGGAGGAGGAGGATCGAGCATCAGCATGTTTTACCATTCTTGGGCCTTCCGGGGACGCCCTTGTCGCCACCGCTGAAGGAGCCTCGACATCTGGAACATTGCGCGCCCACAGAGACCAGACGTCCAGGCGTCCCGACAAAAGTCACTGCGGCAGTGTTCAAAGTCCCCCTCCTCCTCCTCCTCCTCCTCCTCCCTCTCCTCCTCTGCTCCCTCTTCTCCTCCTCCTCCTCCCCTTCCTCCTCCCTCCTCCTCCTCCTCCGTCCTCCTCCTCCTCCTCCTCCTCCCTCCTCCTCTCCTCCTCCTCCTCTCCTCCTACCCCTCCTCCTCCTTCTCCTCCTCCTCCTCGTCCTCCTCCTCCTCCTCCCAGTGCCACGCTGTCATGGCATCAACAGGGCGACCCGCGGCCAGAGACTGGTTCCAAGAGCGCGGTTGTCGAGAGAGCTCTGGGGCTCACGCCGCGGGCAACAAATCGCGTCGTCGGAAACCTCGGGAGGGGAGCACGAGAGGATAGGGGAGAAGGACAAGGGGACGAAGGGGATGATCTCGGAGCGGGAGGGGATGAGGAGGGGGGGAGGAGCATACCACACGCGGGCATACCCCAGTGCGATCACACAGGCCAGTCTCTGAAGCCATTCCGATCTGTTTCGGGCTCCTTCTGGACGAGAACATCTGACCTGGAACAACACTTGCATGACTCCTTCTGTCCGCTGCCGGATGCCGACCAACTCCTGGCTGCCGACAACTCCCGTGTCTGCCCGTCTGACGTCGTCAGTACCCTGAGCACGACTGGAAGGTGAGCCACCATGCCCTATGCAACACACAGGACGAGATGAGGAGGGTAGACAGGAGGAGCACGAACACGTCGCGTGCACGATATCGAACGATGCCGAGGCACAGGCAATGCGCAATGCACTAATGCATGCGCGTGGACACACACATGGGCACGCGTCAACGTAATTGCACACATGTTTCTTTTCAAGTCCCGCGACCTTGGACTTGCCAAGGGATTCCCCCCTCTTCTCCGTCACGGTGTTCTTTCGCTTGTCTTCCTGAGAAGGAGCAGCAAAGGACGTGGGCACCAGGCCACATAGATGAATACGCTCCCCAACGTGGGTTGCGAAGCAGCCCTCATCTTACGAATCCTCGCGCAATGTGATCTCTCGAAATATATTCGAATTCATGTACGCGGCTGTGCTTGTTGCCCTCCTGACCCAAGGCAAACTATCAAATTCAACTATGGTGGTAACATTGTGAGCGTGTCCGCTATATCGCGGGGCGAGGTCGTAACGATACCAGAGGGACGCCTTGAAACCAGCCCTCAAGAGACACGCAAGACTGTGTCGAAGAGGCGGTGTGCTCGACAACGCGTTTTTTTTTCACAACTGCCAACGCCGCTCACTTCGATGCACAAACGGAGAACGCCAACATATCTGATCCTTACACGGCTGGGCCTCAAACTATAAATGGGGGCCACCGGTTTCACACCAGATTTGGACGAGCGTCTGTGGCCTCCTTCTGGCCCCCGGGTGATGTGAGCCACGATGCTCGTACAATTTTGGCATGAGCATGTTGATGCGCCAAGTCCTTCCCTCCTGTGACATCCAGCAGCAAATGCAGGTGCACATCCGAAGGAGTGCTGGTATGCTGGTATGCGTATGTGTGTGTGTGTGTCTGCGTGTGTGTTTGTGTGCGTGGTTCCAGGGGGGAGGGAAGCGTTGTCGTTGACTGCAGGTGCTCCGTTCAACGAGCAAGCTGGCTTACATAAACATGCACTGGGTAGACGAAACGACTGCAAATTACAGCCCGCCGTGTCGAACTGCATGCGGAATGTGAACGAACGCAATCCAAAGTGTTGGCTCCGCACTCCACGTCCGCGCGTTTAGCTGAACACCAAGTATTGGCTCCGCACTCCAAGTCCTCGTGACTAGCTGAACGCCACCCATGCGTGCGAGATGTTGTAACACACACACACACTCACACACACACCCGTTGTGTAAGATTGGTGGTAGCTCGATAACGTGATGCACCGTGGGCGCTGCATGCTAGTCAATGGTATCTGCGAGCGAGTACCGGGCAATCAAACAATCCTTCTTGTAAACAGCTCTTGCCTCGCTGCAAACGCGCACACACACACACACACGCGCTAACGCATACTAGTTTGAAACTGCTGCACCCGCATGGTCAACAAGGCCACGTCCATTTGACACCAATCGTCACGCACATGTTGAATCAACATTGCGGAGTTCACCTCACCATACATGTGACTCTGCGTGAATTCGATGGTTATGAGCCTTACGCCATTTCCTGGCTTACCTCATGGACTGACGAGTGCCATGCTGCGGCAAACGAGTTGCTGTTGCCGACGTGTGCAAGTGTGACAGGATTCTGCCAATTACGCGTGGAGACAGCAACTACACGCGGCCACGCACACGCCCTTGAACGTGCGCGTGTGTGTGTGTGTGTGTGTGTGCGTGTGTGTGTGTGTGAACTGTGCGCTTGCGGGATAGTGGAATGTTAGAATGCTCGTGAGCTGCCTGATAGAAATGCTAGAAATTCTACGGCAGCCCCTTCCTTGCGCAGACCAAGATATGACGACGTCCTGCCTAATGTACCCCCGGCTCCATTTTCGGCCCCTCAACGACGCCGCTAGGACAACTCACGGCCGCCAAAACCAGGCTGCACGACGCCCCAAGACAACCGAAAGACGGCCCAACGAGCCCCCGTAAGGCTCCAACTCTGCAACATAGCCCCACGAGGCCCTCCAAAGCCCCCAAACACCCAAATAGACCTCCAGCAAGGAGGCGAACAACATTCAAATGAATACTAAGTGCATGCAATTCTGATTCTTAGTATCGCTTCGGGAAAACGTGAGGTCCCACCAAAACCATCACAGAATAATAATGCCCCAAGAGAGCCCCATGACAAGCCCAGAATAACTCCCGAATCCTTTTTAAGGCGGCCCAAGACCGCCCCGAGAGGGCTCGCAATCGGCCCTTAGACCCGCCTATCCGTCCCCAAGATGGTTCAACCGAGTCTCTCCAGAAGAGGTCTGTTCAAACCATCGCGCAAAGACGGTTCTGAGAGCCCTGACGGGCCCCCCGCGAGCCACCCAGAGGCCCCCAAAAGGGCCCCCAAGGAGGCTCCCAGAGGCCCCCAGGAGGTCACCACAAACCGCCAAGAGCGGCACGAGATGGGGCAGAACGAGGCTGAGGACAAGGATGGCGCGCTCAACGCACGTGCCAGCTCAGACAGGGCACTGAGCTGGAGCAGGTCTTGAGCTCGACCTCACTCCTGCTGCGCTGCTGCGCTGCTGCGCTGGCGCGATGGCGGGGTTTGCCGTAGTCAGCTGGATGACGCCGTGTCGCGCGTAATGCCACCAACTCTCAACCCCTCGTCCTTGGCTTTGCCATCTTGTTCAGCATTCTTGTCCGCTTCCTCGTTGGGCTTGCCTTTGTTCTCCTGGGCTTGCCACGCCACAGCATCGTGCGGAGTAACTGGGCGTCGACGGTAACTGCCAACACGACACAGACAATACAATCCAACAGCTCTGGATACAGACTTGAATGTGAATCGCATATGCGAACGAAGCGGGGCTCCATGTGTACGACTCACTTCACGACGCGATTGGAACACCTTGACACAAGACAACACGGAAATGGTTTTCGCATGAACATCATCCAGCATCCTAATGGCCACGAAACGCACTCTGCAATTGCACTGGAATTCCCATGAATAAGATTGACTTACGCGCGAGATTTATGATCTGTGCGGTCTCGACAGGTCTAGCTGCGCGTCAAGCGGGCTGCGTCTCCCAAGAAGATGCGTTGCTGTGCACCTACGTGGAGATCACACACGTACGGAAGCATGCGACCAAATATCCGCTCCAAGAGGGTAGTTCAAGCCCTCGTGGGCGAAACAGACTCACACACACACACACACGCACACACACACACACACACTGAGAATGTCAAACACGCGATTGCTCATCTGCCTCTGTACAATTTCCCAAAGTCCTCTGGCATACTGAACACGAGCAAAGTCTGGAGGAAGACAACCGTCCTTGCTCGGCTCTGCTACGCTGGCCCCCTTCTCATTCGCCTTACCTGTTTCACCTTCGCCTTTCTTCGAACACTCCTTCTTGTTCTCAGCGTCCTCTGGTGGGCAGAACTCGCAACTTACACGTAAATCTTCGCACGTGCAGCAGGTGCTGTACGCACGCGGACCAAAGCAGTGCGGAGGCACCTATCTGTGCTGCCAGCGGCATTTGCTGCTCGCTCCCCGTCGAACCCCTGGCCGCACTCGCTCCGGTCCGGCCGTCCTGGCAGCATCGCGTGCACCCGGCTAGAGTCTCTCATAAATCTTCTGGGCACCTGCGTGGAAGGCCTGGTATAGGGAAACAAACAGTGACATAAACATAAAAACTCGGAGGTCCGCGCGGATTTCTCGAATCCCGATCCCAGAAATCCGCGCGGACCTCCGAGTTTTTATGTTTATGTCACTGTTCGTCCCCCGATGGTTGGAAGCATCCAAAGCCGCAGCTGCGCAAGCGTAGAAGCTGTGCGCGCCGGGGCGGAGCTTTCGGGAACTCGGTCGGCGGTCAGTGCAGGCACGCGACTTTCAAGAATCCTCGGGCTGCAACCGCGCCTCGATCAGACCTGCTTCCCAACCTGCCTGAGGAGTCGCGCCCTGCTTTTTTTCTATCCGCAAATTATGTTGTTCCCATCCTACTCAAGGACTGCATCCCGGAAATAATTTCGAGCACCCGTAAAAGTGTCAAAAGAGTATCGAAACAGTGTCGGGCGAGTGTCTCCCAGGGCCCGACACGTGCAAACCCTTGAGTTTCGGTACTCTTTTTGGCGCTCGATATTCTTTCTGGTGATCAAAGCTAAAGTAGGTTGGAGCATCATAATCCGCAGCGCGCGCGTCCTCTTTTTTGCCCCTCCCCGATCTCTTTGCCCACCACTTGTCAGTGTGGGCACACCCCTCACACATCTCGTGCCCCTCAGGGAGCTTCACCCAGAGCCCCTCTTGAAAAGGTTGCAGGGCGTGTGCGGGCCCATGCCGGCACGCTCCTCACGCGTGTCGCGGATCGTAGAACGGAGCTCCATACGGTCCACGCGAGGAAGGTTGCATTGCGTAACTACGCAGGCAGTTTTGGCACCTCCTCCTCCTCCTCCTCCTCCTCCTTATCCTCCGCCTCCTCCTCCTCCTCCTCCTCCTCCTCCTCCCTTCCCCTTCCTCCCTCCTCCATCCTCCCGCCCCGTTTGCCGAACTCCGGCTACGGTCCCACTGGGAAATGGTGCGCGGCGTTCGCGGGCCAACTTTGGCACACATCTCGCCCCTCTGGTGCCCCACCTACGGCACCCGTGGGATTGCCCACATGGCGTGCGCAGATTCACGTCGGCACGCCACTCACACGTTTTGTGGCCCCAGGGGAAAGCCTGGTTGCACCGCCCCACAGGTGCCGGCAAATGCTTCGCACGGACCGTGCACAGAGAGATCTATCACCAACGTCGCATGACTGGGTAGTCGAAGCCAATCTGGCGCCAATCTGGCAGGCCCAATCTGGCAAACGGGGGCAATCTGGCGAGGGAGCCAACGCGAATCCAGTCTGGCGAATAACCCAAATCCGCCAATATGGCCAGGCCAGATTGGCCCTTGGGGCCCAATCCCGTCTGACAGCCTGGCCTTCGACTACCCAGCATGAGGCTTTTAAGGTTTGAGCCCCTCGCCAAACAGATGTGGTGAAGCGCTCGGGCGAGCGATGCTGCACGCGCTGCGGCGGGCTGGGGGCGACGTCGACGCGCTGGAACAGAGCGCGCTGGACAAATCCAGTCCGTGCGGCAGATGGCGCGGCATTATGCCAGGACGTTCCCTCTGGAACAGCACCCCAGCCGCCACCCCAGATTTCGTAATAAAGGGAGGGGGGTCTCATTTCGGGGGGGTCTCTTCCAGGCTATCTTGGAGGGCCCTGGGGGGTCTGGGGACGATGTTTTGGAGGGTTCTCCCACGGGGGAGGTCTGAAATGGCTTGTCTTGGAGGGTCCAGACCCCCTCCCTTTTATTACGAAATCTGGAGTACCTTTGTTTTCCACCCGATCCCGATGCCAATCCGTTCTTTCTTGCCCTCTGCACGAAGTCGCCTCGGCGCCTGTCGCGAAGTCGCCTCGGCGCCTGAGACGCGCCCCGATGCGAGATTGCCGGATAGCTCTTTAGGGAACTGAGATGGTCATAAAAAAGAAGCTGGCAGGCAGGGCTACGCCAGCTCCTCTCCGCGGCTCCCGGGCAGGCCTCCCCGCAGCGAGTTGCTCGAACTCGCAGCGTGTCCCGAGAGCGTTGAGCTGCTCGTCCACACTGCGCGTGCTGAAGCCACTCCTCGGCTCCCTCGAAGCTCCTTGTGAGCTCTTGCGCAGCTCCCTGTCTCGAGCTTGCAAACTCCCCAGGCATCCTTTCCGGCGTCCTTACAGGCGCCCCCCCACAAGCATCTCACGCGCTTTTCGGGCCGGGCGAAACGGGGGGATAGCAAAAGGGAGGGTTTGAGAATCAGCTCCCGTAGCTGATTTTCCCGTCGCCTCCCGGCGCTGGGAGGCGCCCACGTATCGAGGAACGGGCCCGGCGGCGGAGCCGAAACCAGCTGCATGCAGCAGATTTCGTACCCCCCCCTTTCCCAATCCCTGACTCCGGATCCGCCCTACTTTTGGGAAATTCGTAAGTAGGGCTTGGAATTTCCGCCTTACTTTTCAAGCCCTGCTGATGCCAATTTCCGCCCTACTTTTCTGTTGCTGTTTCTGTGGGTTTCCGCCATATTTTATGCTGGGTGCAGCCATTTCCGCCCTACTTTTTCGGTCTCTTCTAGATGGATTTCCGACGCAACTTTAAGTTGGAAAAAAAGCCAAAGTAGGGCGGATCCGGAGTCAGGGATCCCCCCCTTTCGTCCGGCCCGAGCTTTGGACTGCGACGCTGTCCGGGTCTTAGCCGCTGCAAGCCCCGAGAGACGGCCCGACGACTGCGCGACTCTCCCAGGGCCCGGCGACATCCGAGGCCAGGCTCGCGCTCGAAGGCAATCTCCCTATCATCATCATCATCATCATCATCATCATCATCATCATCATCATCATCATCATCATCATCATCATCATCATCATCATCATCATCATCATCAGCATCAGCATCAGCATCAGCATCAGCAGCAGCAGCAGCAGCAGCATCATCATCCTCATCTTCATCATTATCATACTCATCAACATCACCATCGTCAGCATCAGCATCAGCATCATCAACTTCTTTATCACCACCACCATCATCACCATTATCACCACCGAGCGCGCACCCGGCCCAACTAGAGTATGCTTTATCTGGCATGCAGCCAACCCGCAGAGTAAGGATGCGCGATAAGGATGCAAGGGCCTTGGACGCCCATCTCGAAGCGTTTCGAGCGGGGCGCGGCCAACGAAAGCGTCCAAGGATGGACCCAGGAAGCAAGGATGCAAGGGTACCCTTGGGAGGGATGCCTATCCTTACTCTGCGGGTCGACTGTATGCCGGACTAAATGCCCGCGCCGCTGGACTGAGGCGAGGAATAGCAGAAGAAACGCCTAACTAGAGCACCCAGCCTTGCTAACATAGGCAGACGTATCACAGTCCAAACTAAATACTCGCGCAGCTGGAATCACAACAAGGCCGAACTGAAGCACCAGGCCTACTAAAATAAGCCTAACTACGAGAAGCCTGAAAACGAGCTGGCGCAGATGGATCCCAACTACAACCAGGCCGAAGCAGGAAACACGAGGCCTAATCCAAATAAGCCTTACTACACTGTGCCGCACAGCTGGCATCAGGCCAGGCCCAGCTAAAACCAGATCGAACTGAAGCGACAAGCCTGACGACATCATGCCTACCGAAATAAAGCACACGGGCAAACTAAGACAGGCCCGACTGAATGCTCGCGCGGCTGGATCCAGGACAGGCCCAGTCGTTACTGCGGCCCGGTCCGAGCACATCCGTTCAGAGTGCCAGCGCTCGCACGCGACGCACATCATCGCAGATTCGGGGGCGGGTCAGGCCCTCGCTGAGATCGCGGCCGACTGGGGTCTGGACGAACGGGTCCGGGCGTCGCTCCCTTTGAAGCAGAAAGATTCCTCGGCCCATGTGATTCGTCGGTGCACGACTCATCTAATTATCCTGTTTCGCGCAGCTTTTGGATTTGCGATGGTGCGAGTCTTGCGTCCGCGTGCGTGCGCACATCGGGCACGGAATGTCTCTCTCCTTCCCCTGGATCTCGTAGTCTGCGAGCTGAGAAAAAGGCTTTATGCACTGGGAGGTTCCAGCTGTAGACGAGCATTCCTCTGCAGCTTCTCACTCAGAGTGTGGCTCTCCCCTCCTGGTCATGAGGGCATGGTCGCCCTGCCGCTGGTGCAGTGCTTGCCTGTCGGGGCATGCTTACAGTGGGAGTGGTGTCGGGAGATTCTGTGCGTGAAGGTGCATGTGGGCGTTTGCAGACAGAGGAGGAGAGTTCCGCCCTTTGCTGCCCCCTTTCCCACCTTTTCCCTCCCCCTCTCCCTCGTCATCGTCGCCCTGCGCTGTTATCTGGCTTGCATCCGTCTAGCATGTCTAACCTGTTCGTCCAGCATGTCTAACATGTTTGCTCGCGCGCTTCCGCTGCGTGGAGACCCAGGGGGGTGGTTGTCGACAAGGATCTCCTGGTGGGGAGCGCCGTCTTTCGCCCTTCCTGCCCCCCCCCCTCTCCCTTTTTCCCCCCCTCCCTCTAATTTACACAGGCAGCGACTTGGACTCAACCTCTTTCCCCGTCGCATTTGGAAATTTTCGTTGGCCAAAACACCAAGCCCAGCCGCGGATGGGGAAATGAACGGGGCGGCCGTCTTCCCACCCTTCGGCCGCCCGATCTGGGGCGGGAAGACGCTTGGAGGGGTCTTCGTCCCGCGCCCTTCGCCTCCCCTCCCTGCTCGCCTGGCCGCTGGTGGGAAGCTGGAAAAGGCTCATGTCTTCCCTCGTTCTGTGGCATTTCGATATGGTGCCGTAGCGTGTTGTGGCCGTTCCATGCGTGGTCGGGCCCCGGCCGGGCTCCCGGTCGCAGTGGGTTTGGGATTTCCTGCCCCCCGCCCCGCCGCGCCGTGCCGCGCTGCGCTCTGTGGAT